TCCAAGAATAATGGTCCAGACCAGCCTTGTTCCCAGTCGTCCTCGGTAATTTCGGACGTGACGTCACCTATTCCAAGCTTCGTTTGGTAACTCGGATAGCGCGAACTGACCTGGGTACGAGGCTGGGTCCAGACTATATTTAGGCATTGAATCAAAACTGTTTCCCGCCTTCTGTTGCAACAGATGGAAAGGATGAAAATGGATTGATACTCAAAAAAGATGGGCCAACTTCTTCAAGTTCAATGCTATGCTTGCAAAAATCACAAAAAAATACTATGGTTAGTGCTGCCTCATGAAGTGTTTGACATCTTCTTCATAACTCTGCAGGAGAATTTTGTGTATGGGTTATTAAAAGGCACAAAGTAAGGACTAACTTTAGCACAGAATTGACCTTGAACTGCAGCAATATCCGCGCGCATAGTCCCTTTAGAGAAACATTCAATGAAGCACGTCCAGGACCGCTTTAACCTTTTAGAAAATTACAGTGGTGTCTCTAAATCACTCCCCTTGAGTTGGATTTTTTAACTCTGAGAAACGTTTCTTAGCTGGCCATAATGGAAAGCTGGTTATAGTTTGAGTTGTGTAATAGTTGCAGCATAAATCGTTATTCATTATTTCTATTTTGGAAGTAAGTTCTATTGATTTATCATTGGTCTATTTGTTCTAAACCAAAACTTCTCCCCGTTACAGATAAGACGGCGACGTGTTTTGCCATTGGAGGTTTTTTAAGGCCACGAGGTCGCACCGTGCTGCAATGTGAGATTGAATGCTGCTCCTCAAGCAAATGCAACACTCAATTCCCGTCTTTGTCGCTAAATGCAGTAACTGTGTTTTCCCCTAACGGTAATAAACTTTTTAATTTTAAATGTTCCCTATAGAATTGACGATGTGCTCGAAACTGGACTGAAGATCATTATTAATAATAATGCTTCATCGGCCGGATTCGACTTCATATATTTTTGTTGATTATAACTATTAATGCCGAGTCTCCAACAAAAAGTAGTATTGATGAGAGCTTCAGAATTAGTCCTTTCAACTGTTTCAGGGGTGTTAGTACATTCAAAATTCGACTCAAACAGCAAAAAAGCCTCATGCTCACAGATGTTGATTACTTAACCATGTGTCGAAATTGAAAAAAATGACTAACTAAATCAATCAATAAATCTACAATACTGACCATGTGATAAGGCAAGATCTTTAATATATGATTCCTTTTCTTTGTGATAGCTCCCGGTGGTACAAAACAATGTCTGGGCTGTCGCGGAGGTAACCACTATCAGTGCAGTTATCAAAAAAGACCCCAGATATGTGCAACAGATCTTAGTTCATTGGGAACAACTCACTGTGGGTCAGCTATAATTAAATATCGCGAGCAGCGTGGTGGCAGGATATCTCAAGGCGTCTTACGAGGATGCATTAACTGTGCAGGTTGGTGGAATTTTGTTTTAAAACCAATTTCATCAGAATATTGGACACGCCATAGATTTAAGAAAAAGGCCCTGAGAATACATCTTTTCTTATCTCAGCAAAAATTGAGAAAACTAGTATATTAGTATAACGGAGAAATGACAATAAACAGCTAAACTGATTCTCAGCCCTAAGATTTACTACCCTATGATCAAATGATCTGCCCGATATGCAAAACAGATGTAGAGGACGAGTATCGTTATTCACCTTTACACCCTGCTTACAAGGAAAAGACAAGTTCTCTGTTCGAACCCCCAGGCGGAAGAGCACAACCTCTAAGCTAAAAAGTAAATATTAACTAATGTTATTTTAAATAACCCCTTGTGTAACTTTAATTTAAAGACTTGACCTTAACTAATTCGTAACTCACTTCAGGTTAGTCTCCAGAGAAAGTAAGGAAGTGGGAATGGGGGTGTGGGGGCGTGGGGGTGTGAATTTTCTTTTGCTGTCTCAGAGGTAAATTGTTAATGTAGGGTCTCATTTAGCAGGTGGCATACTCGTCGCATACTTGGTCAATCGTAGTGCCTACGGCGGTGGTTAGGCATGCAATAATATAAGTCATTTCCGGGTTGCCCCAAGCCTCTGTTTCAAAGCGAGGCTAAGTATGACTCCCTTGATATGAAAATGATTTTTTATTCTCATGCAAATAGGATTAATTTAATTTTCACAAGAAAAGTTTTGGAAGTAGCCTCGTTTTGAAAGGGGAAGGTTTTGGAACTAGAAAATGACTTATTAAGTAAGCTTTCCGGCAACTGTATTAATTTAATTCCGTGATGATTCTTACAGATAAAAAAATAGCTTGTGCAGCAATTCGCGGCGGTATTAAAACACAGTTTGGAACTTTGCTGGAATGTGAAATTGAGTGTTGCACTGGTGATAATTGCAATAAAGGTAGTAATATGAAAATAAATTCATTTGTTATATACGCCATTTGCACATCTCCCATAATGCACCTTATTTGCCCCCTCATTGGTTACTTCGAGGTCACATGACATCTAGCAATGAAACTGTTTCCCTCCAAAATCTCTGAGAGGGTAACGTTGCAAAATCTATGATGTCAGAGGGTAACAGTGTACTGTTATCCGCGAAATGTTGACTGCCCGCTAGATTTATTTTCGTAAATTTGTACACGAAAAAGTTTTTTCTCGTGGGCTATAAAACAAATCACTTGAGGACTAGTCCCGAGAAAAACAATTGATTTTGTTTTGAGATTCCCGGGAAACAAAATTAACTGTTTTCCACGGGACCAGCCATTAAGCGTTCATTGTAACTTGTTTTGTCGAAATTTTTATCCATAGGATTACAAATGAAACAGTTAAAAGATTGTTTAATTCCTAGTCGTCGTTAACAATGTCATAGAACCCACAAAAAGTATTGTTATTTACATTAGCCAGTGCACATCCGCCCCATCCTTTATATATACAGTCACTGTAACTTCCCCTCGGGATATTGTCAGTATGTAGGAGAGAAAGATGACTTATCGTGGGCTCACGGTGTATCGATAAAGCCCGGGGGTACACAAAAAACCTCTGTACGGGGAGGCTCCGCCCCGAGGTCCAACCCCTTACCCTTTTACGTACCATGTTGGCAGAAAAGGTACCCCTTTTGGCAAATCGTACCACTTCACACACCTAGTTTACCATTTTGTATCCCTTTAAACTGCTGTAAATGCAGGGTCTTTAAGATATGAATAAACCACTAAACCAAAACTTGTTTTCGACTTTTTCACAGCCATACATCTGTTAGCCCTTTTGGGCTTTTTACAGACTGAAATGACAGATTTCCCTACCCTTTCATATTTCTGAAGCCTGAAAAAGGTACCCGTTTCGGGCGGAGCCTCCCCGTATAGGCCATTATAGGTAGTATCTCCCTCTAGGGATGCATGAAGTCAACGGTGATCGGACATGAAAAGTTATTGGTTGTTGAATCTACAATCAGACGTGTAAAGGGGTATATATGGGGTCACGTATGCCGCAAATAATTCAGAGGCTGGCATCCCATTCAAAAGAGAGTAGTTACAAGTTTTTATTCTTGGAGTGACTGAACGGTCTAATTTAATGCAAAGTCACCTTTGTTTCTAAAGTCCCTCTCAACGATTTTGTGATTAGTAATTATAAAAAGTCAAACTCGCTAAAAATTCATGATGAGGCGCGCCAGGAGTCTCCACCGAGAAGAAAGTTCGACCATAAAAAGTTCCCAGATTTTGAAGCGATGGCTTTCACTTAAGTTGTTAATCAGTTTAAGTTTAAGTTTTTGTTTTTCAACTTGCTTCTGGGTGTGGGATATCCAGTATATTAGATGAAACACTCCTTCTCGAGTTTAATATAAACCTTATCTGATTGTTTTACACAGAAACGATAGATACTGGTCCAGGACAGTGTATCAAGTGTGCAAATAACCAGTTTGGTCCATTGAGAACATGTGGCTCTTCAGAGCAATGGAACCAAAGCTGTTTAATTGATCCCAGTTCATTAGGTGCATCTCATTGTGGTTCGGCGGCAATAAACTATTTTGACTTTTCCGATGAGACCATCAAGACCGATGTAATTCGTGGATGTTTTAACTGCTCGGGTAAATAGCATTTATTGTATTGCTTTAACAGTGACTTTTAACTGTTAATATTTTATATTTTATTTGCCACCAGGGAGGTCAGTAGGAGCAGAAACTGTAGGTCTGTAATAAAATATGCTTTAATGTTTTTTTTTTCCGTATATATGTATCACTGATGAATGGCACGCTTGGTTTTGTTTATTTCTAGTTTTTATCTCAGTGGCACGTAACAATGTGCCAAACGAAAAAGACGAAAAACCCGAATTCATTTGCTGACTAACTGACTAATTAAGGAGGGATTCATTGGCCTTGGCGGATAACAACTCACCCCAGTTGAACAGTTGTTAAATATTTTGAATAATAACGAGCAAAACGACTGCTTAGAACACCAAGATCACTGAGTGTGTATATGTACACTCAATTTCAGTTACCTTTCATCCGGCTGTATTCGTTGATTTTATAGGCGTCAATTACTACGATGTTCACAGTTTGAACCCTCTTTTTTTCATTTTAGATAAAAAAGCAGCTTGCCTTACTCTTGGTGGATACCTAAAATCTTTCCGTGTAACATTGCTTGAATGCGAGATTGAGTGTTGTGATAGGAGTAACTGTAACACGCAGAAGTTAAGTTTGACACAGGACGCAGTGAGAGTATTCCCACCAGGTAACAAAAATTAATTTATGATAATTCAGACTTACTTGCGCATGCGTGTAATAAAATACCATACTAACTGTTTCAAGGGAACTTTAAAACCCGACGTACAGTCAATTGTTTTCAACTTGATATAAAAAAAGTTAAACTGCGAGTGAACGGTCCTGCTCATTATCATACTATTTCTTAGGTTTCGCAAAAGAGAAGGATCAAGGGGCAAGTAGAATGTTCTCTTCTTTATTCCCGAAAGTTTCATCTGCTGCTGATTTCATGAAAAACGTCTTTTTTTTTCTTTTCGACAGAAAATTTTCCCACTTTTTCCCTCCTCCTAGAACGCGCGGAAGAGTTATCATTTATTATTCCATATCGGTTATTGAATTTTGTGATCCGGGATTCTCGATCGACTCACCTTTCAGTAGAAGTTCCTCGAAGGGCCCATTTCTCGAAAGACTCGACAATTGACAGGCCTGGAAAGCTGTTGTTGTTCACATTCATGATCGAGGTTTTCACAGTCACGGTTTTGCAGATGATGATGATGATGATGATGATGATGATGATGATGATGATGATGATGACATCATCATCATCATAATCTTTGTTCAATCGATAAAATACATATAGAAAGTTACAAACGTCAAAACAGTTAAAGTTAAGTTAAAAACTGCATTGAAGTAGAATCATATGGCTAAGTTATAATTAAAGCATAGCCTATTTACAAAGCAGTTCTTAAAGCACTCAGTGTTATCTAAAGGTAGCCGAAATATGTTTCTTCGAAGCCTTTGAGAAGAGTCCTTTACAGTCGTTAAAATAGAACATAGCGGATGGTGTTCGTCCTTGCTAATTTTATCATAGAGCTTTCTGTCAGATTTATCATAAATACATAGTTTGTCCGAGATGTAGCGTCTTTTGTAGCATCTCTTTAGAAAGCAATCCAAGGTCAGCCTTGCTAGCACGATAAATCGAGAGTCGATTTAAATAGAAAGTCAACATCTTTCTCTCCATAGCCCTCTTTCTTGATAAAACTCTCTATCACCAAAACAAAATGTACTGGTTTTGTTAGCTATGACCTGCACTTTTTACTGGCTTCAGATTTTTGCCATCCTGGAATTTTTTTCCCTAAACTATTGAAGAGGCTTAGACTTTCATGAACATTTTATCAAGCGGAAATTTCAAGAGACATAGAAATTTCATGTAGGAAAAGGGAAATGTCTTTTGAGAGCCACTGAGAGGGATATGTCAGTTTGGAGTATGGAGATGAGTGCTAACCACATTTCATTTCGCTTCATGTAATGCTACGCGACGGGACCTGGGAACTGATAAAAAACTGCGAAACAAAAGAGATCTCAGGACAGAAATAAGGGGTTTCCCTGTGCCCCTATCTAATAATAGATAGGTCACAGAAAGACCCTTTGTGCCGTATATGCCCACAAAAAGATGAGACAGTAGGGCTATTTATACGAGGAACAATAAGACGCGTCTTTCATTAGACACGTCCTAAATAAGACGCAAACTATCTCGCATAAACGGCACCGTAAGACGCGACTTAGCTAAGACGCGTCTTATCGAAGAACACCGTGTTTGGAGCTGTTCTTATACTAAATTTCAATCGAAATGTGCCGTTTATACGGGATAGTTTGCCTCTTATTTAGGACACTTCTTATATGAGACGGGTGTTATTTTTCCTCGTTTTATATAAACGGCCCTAATAAGTCACCTTTTATCCTAGTGCCCATTCAAAGTTGGCATTGGGCGCAAACAACATGGATTTGAAAGGAGTAGCCTGCGTAGCAGGCGCTTGGAAGTAATGGGCACAAGAAAAAACGGGCGCGTGAGAAGGAGACACGCGAGGGGAGAGGGCTACCAGTTAATTAGTTGGGGGCGGGAAACGATTTTCATGGGCCTTCCGGGCAGGCGCTTCCTCACCCCTCGCGTGTCTCCCTCGTGCGCGCCCGTTCTCTCTTTCGCCCACTTCTTCCAAGCGCCTGCTACGCAGACTATGAAAGGAGTGACAAGTGGTAAAAAGAATGTTGAGGATAATGAGAATTTCAAATTGCTTTGGGATTTCTCTATACAAATTTCCTCATGTATCATTAATACTGTATACCCTAGCGACAGAAGGGTGGACATCTGTAGACAACATCAAACAGGAGGAAAAGATCAACAAGTATCTTGATCTAGCTGTTGAGATTAAAGAGTTGTGGAAGATGAAGAGTGCAAAAGTCGTCCCCGTTGTTATTGGAGCACTGGGTACTATTCCGAAGAGACTGAAGGACTACCTGAGAAACATAAAATTTGGGATAGACTTGGCGCACTTCAAAGAACAGTCTTGCTGGGATCAGCAAGGATCCTCGGAAGAGTCCTTAAATTCTGAGGCAGCTTTTTGCGACCTGATATATATGATGGGACTGAAATTTCCGGCATTGACATACCTGCCGTGAGGCATGCACCATAATAATAAAAATAATAATAGTTGTTGGTAATAATAATAATAATAATAATAATAATAATAATAATAATAATAATAATAATAATAATAATAATAATAATGACAACAACAACAACAACAGTGCATCTACATAACCCTTTCTTACAATGTTCTCATAACAGCAGCCTCTGTTCCATCACGATGCCAACAGTGTTTCGCAGATAATGAAACAGAGTGCATCCAGAGACAACAGCTTCAAGATTGTGGTCCGGACTCACTCGGAACAACTCATTGCGGTTTCGCAAAGATACAGTTTTGGTCCAGTTTTAGTATTCGTAATGCGGTCTACAAAGGATGCATCAATTGCGCAGGTAACATAAGGGGCACGTACAATTCACTATTTTAG